GGATCACCTGAGGTCAGGAGTTCAAAACCAGCCTGGCCAACATGGTAAAACCTCATCTCTACTAAAACTACAAAAATTAGCTGGGTGTGTTGGTGGGCACCTGTAATCCCAACTACCCGGGAGGCCAAGTCAGGAGAATCTCTTGAACTCGAGAGGCAGAGGTTACGGTGGGCCAGGATCACACCACTGCACTCCAGCCTGGGTGACAGAGTAAGACTCTGGGGGCAAAAAAAAAAGAACATGGCCCAGTGTTGCTGTGCTGACGTCGTTTCTGGCCGAGTTACAAAGCTGCTCTGTCCAGAGTGATGGAAATGGCTGGCTTCTCCCAGGTCGTCCGGCTGGTCCCCCTCTAACCGCAGCACCAGACACAGCATGATTTGGAGATCTGTTTTCTAGTAATAAGGTCGCATCACCCCTTCTAAGAAAGTGTGCCTCCCTGGGCAGGTCCCCATCCCCATCACAAATGGCCTGGATCCCTTGAGCCTGCTGACAGATGATGCGGACGTGGCCACCTGGAACAACCAGGGCCTCCCCAGCGACCGCATGTCCACCGAGAATGCCACCATCCTGTGCAACACCGAGCGGTGGCCGCTGATTGTGGACGCCCAGCTCCAAGGAATCAAGTGGATCAAAAACAAATACAGCAGTGAACTGAAAGCCATCCGCCTGGGACAGAAGAGGTGTGTACAGGCGCAGGACCTGGACCAAAGCCCCCCACTGCTTGGAAGCATGCCTTAGGCGTTTCAAATTGGTTTCATGGATGGGTGGGTCTTTAAATATAAGTACTAGCCCACAGGTTTTAAATTTGACCCCGGGGAACAGCAGCAGTAGTAAAGAATGAAATTAGGAGCTCTATTCCCTTCCCCTGTCCCCATCACCCGCTGCTCCTGCAGGGAAAGGAGAGTGAGACGGAGGCTAAGGCCGGGGGGTTGCCTCCCGCTTGGCCATTTGCTGGCTGGAGGCTTGAGGTGGTCACGTTCTTGGGTCTTGTGGTCTGTATTCTCATCACAGATGAGAAACAATGGCTGTTAAACGACACAGGTACAGTGACGCCCTGTCTTCCTAGCGGTGCTGGAAAATCCAATGGCGTGTGGCTATGAAAACATTTGCCTCTGTGGCCATAAAGCTACTCAAAGCTGCTTCCAGGCCGGGCGCAGTGGCTCATCCGTGTAATCTCAGCACTCTGTGGGGGAGGCCAAGGCAGGAGGATTGCTTGAGCTCAGGAGTTTGAGACCGGCCTGGGCAACACAGTGAGACCTCATCTCTCCAAATAATAAAAAAAAAAACCTAGTTAGGTGTGGTGGTATGAGCCTGTAGTCCTGTAGTTCCAGCTACTCAGGAGGCTGAGATGGGAGAATCACTTGAGCCTGGGAGGTCAAGGTTGCAGTGAACCCTGCTCACGCCACTGCACTCCAGCCTGGGTGAGAGAATGAGACCCTGTCTCAAAAACCAAAACAAAGCAAAACTTTCCATTTTCATCTCCACTCCCATAAGAGCACAGGGGCAGTTTACAAAGAAGCCCCTCGGCTCCTTTCAGGAAAGGGTGAGCTGTTGGGAACAAGTTGTGGGCTCCTAGGTCACCACTCGCTTGGCGCCGTCTCGCTCAGAGGGCAGGGGCTGCTGGTCGGCGCGTGCGCGCACCGTTCCATCACGAGGCCCTCTGCCGTGAACCAGCTTCCGTGCTGTGCCCGCAGCTACCTGGATGTCATCGAGCAGGCCATCTCGGAAGGGGACACCTTGCTCATTGAGAACATCGGCGAAACCGTGGACCCCGTGCTGGACCCTCTACTGGGCAGGAACACAATTAAAAAGGGAAAGTGAGTTGTTTCCATCTCCGTGGCTTGAGCCAGGTAAACGTCTTCGGGCCCGAGGCCTGGGCGTGTGCATGTAGGGAAGACGCCCGGAATGCCCTTTGCTTCCCTGGTAGGCAGCGGGGGCTTTGACAAAATGCCGACTGGAGGGAAGGAGCCCCCAGCTCCCGAGGAAAGACTGGAAAGGGGCCACATCCCCATTAGGAATATCTCCGCCACCGTTTTATCAGTGATCACCTCCAGACGGTGAGGCTTGGAGGTGACGTCTTTCTTCTTTCTGTTCTTAGGCATTTTGCAAATCTTGGGACTGCATTACCTTTAAAAATTCACACGAAATTCACACAACATAAAATTAACCGTATTAAAGGGCACAATTCAAGAGCATTTAGTACACTCACAATGTTGTACAAACACATCTGTCCAGTTGCACATTTTCAGCACCCGAAAGGAAGCCCCACACCCACTGTTGTTCTTCATTCCGCCTCCCTCCTGAGCGCTGGACACCCACTAGTCTGCTTTCTGTGTCTGTGGATTTGCCTCTTCTGGACATTTCCTCTGAATAGAATCAAGCAACATGTGTCTTTTTGTGTCTGGCTCTTTTTACTCAGCATTTTTTGTTTGTTTTTTGAGACGGAGTCTCGCTCTGTCGTCCAGGCTGGAGTCCAGTGGTGCAATCTCTGCTCACTGCAGCCTCTGCCTCCTGGGTTCAAGTGATTCTCCTGCCCCAGCCTCCCAAGTAGCTGGGATTACAGGCACACATCACCACGCCCGGCTAATTTTTGTATTTTTAGTAGAGACAGGTTCCCCATGTTGGCCAGGATGATCTCGAACTCCTGACCTCAGGTGATCCACCTGCCTTGGCCTCCCAAAGTGCTGGGATTACAGGAGGGAGCCACCGCGCCTGGCCTTTACTTAGCATGTTTTTAGGGGTCGTGCATGTGGTTGCACGTGTCAGTCCTTCATTCCTCTTTATGGCAGGATCACATTCCACGTGTGGCTGTGCGCATTTGTTTGTCCACTCATCAGTTGATGCATGGAGCTCGCATTATTCACTTTACAATTTTAAAAAATTAAATCTACCTTAAAAAAACGTAAATGTCAGAGCTGACAGGAACCACCTTTAAATGCAGAGATGCATGCAGAAACCCAGAACAGGGTGGCAAATCGATATGCAGAGGTCCTAGACTCTGGGAAGGGCCTGGTGTGAGTGCTGAGGGGTTAAGTTAACCAGAGGCCCCTCAAGGTGAGCCCAACTACGAAGAGGGGAGAGGAGGGTGTAGGGTCAGAGAGAGGCACCCCCCACAGTGGATGAGCAGACCCCAGGTTGCAGTCCTGGGAGCTTCCAGGATGGACTGATGTTACAAATGGGTCTGGGTCGGGGCTCCCAGAGGAGCACAGCGTGCAGCCAGAGGGGCGTAAACCCTGCTGCAAAGATGAGCCTGCCCACCCAAGGAAAGAGCAGGTGCATCTCCCAGAAGGGCCCACGTCACAGGCCGGGGAGGAGGAACAGACACGGAGAGGTACAGTGCTCTTCCAGGGACCAGAAGGAGGGCTCAAGGTGGCGGCCTGGCCTGGGGCGGGGGTGAAAGGTGGTCTGTGCTTGTGTTCCTCTCCCCTGGCCACTGGGAGGCCCACTAACCCTTTCCTCCGCTAACCCCAGGTACATTAAGATTGGCGACAAGGAGGTGGAGTACCACCCCAAGTTCCGCCTGATCCTGCACACCAAGTACTTCAACCCACACTACAAGCCAGAGATGCAGGCTCAGTGCACCCTCATCAACTTCCTGGTCACCAGGGATGGACTCGAGGACCAACTCTTGGCCGCTGTGGTGGCCAAAGAGCGCCCAGATCTAGAACAGCTGAAGGTAACGTCCTCAAGGTCGGTCACACGGGAGGAGGGGCCGTCCCACGCAGAGGGGGCCGGGTCACCGTGAGGCCCCGAGCAGGACCACCAGCCCGGTGTGTGTGGTTGCTTCTCTCTGAAGGTGCCTCAGTATGTCCCGGGGCATCGCAGCTTCTCGTACGACAGGATGGGTCATTTCCTTCCCCGCTGTCCCCTCTTCCAGCTCCCAAATTTAATTCTAAGACACATGACTGCTTTGCTTAAAGAACATGAGTCACAGCGGTCCTCAGGGGGCTCTAAGCTCCAGAGCGCTGCCCTGCAAGAATGGCCTGGCTGCCAACCCTTGCGCCCGCCATAGTGCATGGGCTCAGGAGGCCCAGGCCCGCCTGTCCCCATTCTGCCCCCTACAGTCTTCGTGACAGGAAGCCTCAAGGCTGGGAGCAGGCCCAGGGCCTCTCTGAGGTTCCAGGGGCTCCGCTTTTGCAGCCCCTGAGCTCGTTCCTCCTGCTCAAAGCCTGAGACGTGGCTAAGCCACACGGCTACCCGAGGGAGGCCTGGGTGCCCGGCGGACAGAGCCAGGCCATGCAGTGACAACCGCACCTCCCCTTGCAGGCGAACCTCACCAAGTCTCAAAACGAATTTAAGATTGTTCTGAAAGAGCTGGAAGATTCGCTCCTGGCCCGTCTGTCGGCTGCCTCGGGGAACTTTCTGGGAGACACAGCTTTGGTGGAGAATCTGGAGACCACCAAGCACACAGCCAGCGAGATCGAAGAGAAGGTCAGAGCTGCCTCAGTGACGTGCCCTGACAGCCGGGGCATGGGAGGCTGGGCCACGGGCGATCGGCGCCTCCCCCACCAGCAAGGAGAAAAGCAGCTTCAGTCATACATGCCGAGCCGGCCCAGGGCAGGAGAAGGGGCCCGAGCTCCCATCCTGCACCCAGCTGCTGCTGAGAGCCCTTGGGTGGCTTCCCAGGGAGCGAGGCTGGTGGCTGGGAATGAGCCCATCTGCTGTGTCATTCAAACCCCTTTTGTTTGTGTCAAGGTGGTGGAGGCAAAAATCACGGAAGTTAAAATCAACGAGGCGAGAGAGAACTACCGCCCAGCTGCGGAGCGGGCATCTCTGCTCTACTTCATACTGAACGACCTCAACAAAATCAACCCCATCTACCAGTTCTCCCTCAAGGTGCGCCCTGCAGCTGGGGCTGGGTGCCTCCCTCAAGGTGGGGCTGCATCTGGGCTCCACAGCCAGGTCTGTTGCCCGCACAGCTATCAGGCAGTGCCAGGGCCACCCTCAGAGGGCAGACCTGGTCCAGCCTGCAGACGGGGCTGGAAGTAGGGGAGCCAGGGGCCCCCATCAGTCCTACACCCATTCTCCCCAGGAGAGGGTATGAGCTGCTCCCTCCTCCCTGCTCTTCCCCTGGTGCCTCCAGGCACCCCCAACCCAATCAAAAAACTGGATGGCCTGGCATGGTGGCTTACGCCTGTAATCTCAGCACTATGGGGGGTCGAGGCAGGTGGATCTCCTGAGGTCAGGAGTTCAAGACCAGCCTGACCAACATAGTGAAACCCCGTCTCTACTAAAAGTACAAAAATTAGCCAGGCGTGGTGGTGCATGCCTGTAATTCCAGCTACTCAGGGAGGCTGAGGCAGAAGCATCGCTTGAACACTGCAACCTCCCTCACTGTGGAGGGTGCAGTGAGCCGAGATCACGCCACTGCACTCCAGCCTAGGCGATGGAGCAAGGCTCTGTCTCAAACAAAACAAACTGGAGGCCACCACAGGTGGCAGGGAGTGATGGTAGGGAGCAGTGGCGGGCTCCATCTCTGCACGTCTCCATGACTCTGGGTGGCGGATCCACAGGCCTTCAACGTGGTATTTGAGAAAGCCATCCAGAGGACCACCCCTGCCAGTGAGGTGAAGCAGCGGGTAATCAACCTGACGGACGAGATCACCTACTCCGTCTACATGTATACCGCCCGGGGGCTCTTCGAGAGGGACAAACTCATTTTCCTGGCACAAGTTACGTTTCAGGTAATGTCTAGCCTCATTGCTCCTAGTGTGGTCCATGGACCAGCAGTGTCAGTGACCCCTGGGAGCTTTGTGGAAAGGCAGATTCTTGGGCCCCCACCCAAACCTGGTGATTTCAAACCTGCATTTTAGCAACATACCCAGGTGATTGTAAAGTCTGAGATGCCTGATGTGGAACAGGCCTGGGGCTCTCTTAGTCAATATTCAGGAAGCTGGCACATTATTCCAATGGGAGCTAGTAAAGGGGTGGTGTGGCAAGGAGAATTTCACAAGGAAATGTCATTTTACATGTAAGTTGTGCTAAGTAAATAGTCCTCCATTAGTGCTTAGCCCACTGTGGGATGAGTGATGTTTCTTAAGAAATAAGTGTATGAATAAACAAATATTCCTCCTGTTTTATACAGTCCTGCTAAAATATTTAAAGATCTGCATTCTCTGAAACTGATTAAACAGCCTGTCTTAATTTGTTTTGTGCTGCTATAATAGAATACCCAAGGCTGGGTAATCTATAAACAATAGAAATTTATTTCTCATGGTCCTGGGGTCTGGGAAGTTCCATATGAAAGTGCTGGCATCTGTCAAGGGCCTTCTTGCTGTGTCATCCCATGGTGGAAGGCTAGAGGGCGAGAGAGAGCACAAAAGGGGCCAAACTCCTTGTGTAACAAACCCACTCCATTGATCATGACATTAAGCCATTGACTCTGCTCTCATGGCCCAGTTGCCTCTCAGGCCCCACCTCTCAACACTGTTGCACTGAGGATTCAGTTTCCAACATATGCTTTTTGGGGAACACATTCAAACCATAGCACAGCCCCTCTGCAATTTTGTTTACACTGTGCCATACGTATGGTTGGAAACACTAGTTTTTGTTGTTGCTGTTACTGCTGCTATTTTGAGACAGTATCTCACTCTGTCACCCAGGCTGGAGTGCAGTGGTGCAGTCACAGCTCACTGTAGCCTTGAATTCCTGAACTCAAGCAATCCTCCCACTTCAGCCTCCTCAGTAGCTGGGACTACAGGCATGTGCCACCATGCTCGGCTAATTCTTCAGTTTTTTAATTATTTATTTATCTTTAGTAGAGACAAAGTCTCACTATGTTGCCCAGGCTGGTCTTGAACTCCTGGGCTCATGTGATCCTCCTGCCTCAACCTCCCTGTAGCTGGGAATACATGTGTACACTGCCGTGCCTGGCTAATTTTTAAATGTTTTTATAGAGACAGGGTCCTGCTATATTGCTCACCCCACTCGGCTAATTCTTTAGTGTTTTTGTTTGTTTTTTGAGACGGAGTCTTGCTCTATTGGCAGGCTGGAGTTCAGTGGCATGATCTTGGCTCGCTGCAACTGCTGCCTCCTGGATTCAAGCAATTCTCCTGCCTCAGCCTCCCTAGTAGCTGGGACTACAGGTGCACGCCACCATGCCCGGCTACTTTTTGTCTTTTTATTAGAGACATGGTTTCACCATGTTGGCCAGGATGGTCTCAATCTCTTGACCTCGTGATCCGCCCGCCTCAGCCTCCCAAAGTGCTGAGATTACAGGGGTGAGTCACCATGCCTGGTCAATTCTTTAGTTTTTATTTTATTTTATTTTATTTTTTTGAGACGGAGCCTCGCTGTCTCCCAGGCTGGAGTGCAGTGGCCGGATCTCAGCTCACTGCTCCTGCCTCAGCCTCCCGAGTAGCTGGGACTACAGGCGCGCGCCATCTCGCCCGGCTATTTTTTTGTATTTTTTTAGTAGAGACGGGGTTTCACCGGGTTAGCCAGGATGGTCTCGATCTCCTGACCTCGTGATCCACCCGTCTCGGACTCCCAAAGTGCTGGGATTACAGGCTTGAGCCACCGCGCCCGGCAGTTTTTAATTTTTTAATTTTTTAATTTTTTTTTTTTTTTTTAGTAGAGACAGTCTCAGTATGTTGCCCAGGCTTGTCATGAACTCCTGGGCTCAAGTGATCCTCCTGCCTCAACCTCCCTGTAGCTGGGAATACAAGTGTACACTATTGTACCTGGCTAATTTTTTTTTTTTTCTGTTTTTTAGAAAGAGTTTTGCCCTTGCTGCCCAGGCTGCGGTGCAATGGTACAATCTCAGCCCACCACAACGTCTGCCTCCCGGGTTCAAGCAGTTCTCCTACCTCAGCCTCCTGAGTAGCTGGGATTACAGGCATATGCCACCATGCCCGGCTAATTTTTGTATTTTTAGTCGAGACAGGTTTCTCCATGTTGGTCTCGCTGGTCTCAAACTCCCGACCTTAGGTGATCCACCCGCCTCGGCCTCCCAAAGTGCTGGGATTACAGGCATGAGCCACCGCACCCAGCCCTAATTTTTTTTAATGTTTTTAAAGAGACAGAGTCTCATTATATTGCCCAGGCTGGGCAACACTAATTGTATAAATAGGTTGGGCATCAGTTTAAGCCTAGCTTTCAATTCAAACTCAAACTTTGAACCAGTGGGGTCCATATTATGAAGGTTCCTTTTACATGTGAATCTCTGAATCACAGGTTCACTGTGAGATTTTCTCCTGGCTGAGAGGTCATCAGGATAAGAGTTCTCAGTGCTCCCCCTCATTTTCCAGGGTAGAAAGCATTCTCTTTGGTCCCAAGGAATGTTTTGTGTGACCAAAAGAAAAAGTCCAGTTCAGGAAGAAACTCTCTATGGGATCTGAAAAACAGACCCTTTGGGTACTTGACTGAGGAGATGGCAGTGGCCATTACCCCTGCTCCCAGCCACCTGCTGCCCATCTGAGACAGAGAGTGCCAGGTTAGCTGCCCAGTACACCACTTCAAAATGACCCAGACCCTGCCCACAGGAGGTCCAGAGGGCCAGCATGCACAAGTGACAAGATGGTATGGAATATGGCCCAGCATTCCACTTCTGGGCACACACCCACAAGACCTGGAAACAGGTGTCCAGCATCTGTCCAGATTCCCGTACACCAGTATTCACAACAGCATTAATCGCAGCAGCCAAAAGCCAGATGAGGCCAGGCACTGAGGCTTATGCCTATTATCCCAACATTGCGGGAGGTCAAAGCAAGAGGATCACTTGAGGCGGTTTGAGACTAGCCCAGTCAATATAGCAAGACCCCATCTCTACAAAAAAAAAAAAAAAAAAAGCTAGGTGCGATGATGCACGCCTGTAGTCCCAGCTACTTGGAAGGCTGAGATGGATGGTCACTTGAGCCCACGAGATCAAGGCTGCAGTGAGCTATGATCACAGTACTACACTCCAGCCGGGGGCAACAGAGCCATACCCTGTCTCTCAAAGACAACAACAAGGCCGGGCGTGGTGGCTCTCACCTGTAATCCTGGTACGCTGGGAGGCCAAGACGGGCAGATCACTTGAGGCCAGTAGTTCAAGAGCAGCCTGGCCAACATGGTGAAAACCCCGTCTCTACAAAAAATGCAAAAATTAGCTGGGCATGGTGGCACGCACCTGTAATTCCAGCTACTTGGGAGGCTGAGACAGGAGAATCGCTTGAACCCAGGAGGTGGAGGTTGCAGTGAGCCGAGATTGCACTACTGCGCTCCAGCCTGGATGACAGAGTAAGAGTCTGTCTCAAAAAATAACAATAAATAATAAAAAATAAAAACAACAAAGCCAACCAATTCACAACAGCCAGAATGACATGCTGTCCATCAGCAGATGAACGGAGAACCCCAGCGTAGTTATATTCAAGAATGGGATATTACTCAGCCTTACAGGGGAAGGAGGCTCTGACATCTACAACGTGGATGAACCTCGGAAGCGTCACGCTAAGTGAAAGATGCCAGATGCAAACAGGGCAGGTCGTGTGCTTCTGTCTATACGAAGCATCCAAAATGGGTGCATCCCTAGACAGAAGGCAGATGAGCAGCTCTCAGAGGCGAGGGGAGATGGGAAGTGACTGCTCAAGGGGTGAAGGGATAACAAAAAAGTCCTGGAACTAGAGATGGCTGGTGGTTGCACGATGCTGCGAATATGTGAAATGCCACTGGATTGTACACTAAAATATGGTTAAAATTGTCAATTTTTTTTTTTTTTTTTTTATAGACAGAGCCTCACTCTGTTGCCCAGGCTACAGTGCAGTGGCATGATCTCAGCTCACTGCAACCTCTGCCTCCCAGGTTCAAGCGATTCTCCTGCCTCAGCATCCCGAGTAGCTGGGGCTACAGGCATGTACCACCACGCCTAATTTTTTTGTATTTTAGTAGAAACAGGGTTTCACCATGTTGGCTAGGCTGGTCTTGAACTCCTGACCTCAAGTGATCCATCCCCCTCAGCCTCCCAAAGTGCTGGGATAACAGGCGTGAGCCACTGTGCCCGGCCAAAATGGTCAATTTTATGGTATGTGTATTTCACAACTTAAAAAGCGAGACGAGGTAAAGATAAAACTTTACCCCAACCCAAAGGGGCAGGACAGGGTGCCCCCTGCAGGCCGGGAGTGTGAACTCCTCTTCAGGTCCAGCACGCATCTTCAGGGCTGCTGACGTTTTACTGGCTGCATTAAGCGTGTACACCTCCATGTTCCCCCAGGTCCTGTCCATGAAGAAGGAGCTGAACCCAGTGGAGCTGGATTTCCTCCTGCGGTTCCCTTTTAAGGCCGGGGTGGTCTCCCCAGTGGACTTCCTGCAGCACCAAGGCTGGGGCGGGATCAAGGTTCGTCTTTAGACATTGAACACGCTGTGCTTTCTTCCCCCCGTGGAGCCTTTCCAGTTGATGCTGCAGATGTTTACAAGGCCAGAATACCAGGCTCTGTGGCCCACACAATTCAGTAAAGCAAGGAGGCCCCACAGATGGGGATGGAGACCAAGATGGGCTGGCTACCAGCTCACAGATAACTCTGCATTCCTATAGGGAATGTGACATGCGTTAGGTCCCTGAGCAAGCAGAGAGTGACATCCTCTGAGGGCCAGAAGAGACCTCAGGGCCTCTTACCACCCCTCCCCCAGCCTCCCCCCTTCCCAGCGTAAGGGAAGTGGCAAGTGAAAAGTTTGTTCCTCGGATTCCTGGACACCATCAGGGACCCTCGGGTCTCAAGGTCTGCTCAAAGAGACCTGAAGAAGGTTGTCCCCTGAGCTAGAATGGCCCCATTTCCAGAGACCCCTAGAGAAGCAGCCCCAGTCCCTCCCACGCCTCATGTCCCCAGATTGGACCCCACCAAGGAGGCTCCCGGCACTGTCCTGGGATGCCTGAGCTGGGCACGGACAGCTCGTGCTTTGGTGGCCGGCCTCTCGGGCTGGCTTATCCCAGAGCCCCAGTTTCCTCGGAGGGCAGTGGCCTCTCCTCCTTGAACGAATTGTACAGGAAGGCTCTCGGGACCCGGGTAAGTGGGAAGAGTCACAGGGCCTGCTGCCTCTGCCCCTAGGCCCTCTCGGAGATGGACGAGTTCAAAAACCTGGACAGCGACATCGAAGGATCTGCCAAGCGCTGGAAAAAGCTGGTGGAGTCAGAAGCCCCCGAGAAGGAGATCTTCCCCAAGGAGTGGAAGAACAAGACGGCCCTGCAGAAGCTGTGCATGGTGCGCTGCATGCGGCCGGACCGCATGACCTACGCCGTTAAGTGAGTGTCCCGCCACCGTGCCGGCAGCCCCGTCCCCGAGGCCCAGGCCTGAGGAAAGCTCGGCCTAGCTGCTGTGCTAGACTCTCTGTGGACTTGAGTTGATCCCCTGAACTTCTCCCCATTTTACACAGAAACGAAACAGGGCTCAGAGGGGCTAAATCATTTCACACAGTTCTTCGAGGACAGAGGCAGGATTCCACCCCAGGCTGCAGACTCCAGTCCTGAGTTCTTATTAATCCTTAATGTCTCAGAGCATCATGAGGGGAACCCCTTGTCCCCCGCTAACCTGACTGCAGAGGGGTGCCCTGAGGTACATGATAGGAAGAAGACTCCCCACGTGAGCCTCCTAGATTGAAAGTAAGATGTCAAGTGTGGACATGAATGTGCACTGAGGCCATACCAATGGGGTCCTTTTAGGATGTTTTGAGGGAGAAAACAATGGCAAAACCATCAGCACTCGAGGACTCTGAGTACCTCGGTGGCAAAACGTAAAGTCAATCAAAGATGTATTAATATGGCTAGTTTGCAAGAGAACTGTTCTGATTTCACCAACAATTTCTCCAGACCTGAAACCCTTCCATGTTGGACGGATGGGTTGTTGAAGGAAGGAGGTGACGTTTAGCACAGAAATGAGCCTGGGGTCCGTCCTCAGAGCACCTGTGGCCTGTCTGGCTTCTTCCTTTTTCATTTCCCCAAGTAGTCTGAAAGCAGCCAGGTTTCCCAAAAGACACTCATGTCCCTAATAGAATTACTCTCTGATGGCCAGGTGTGGTGGCTCACGCCTGTAATCCCAGTACTTTGGGGAGGATCGCTTGAGACCAGCCTGGGCAACACAGTGAGACCCCACCTCTACAAAAAGTCTAAAAATTAGCCGGGTGCGGTGGCAGCCTCCTGTAGTCCCAGCCACTCAGGAGGCTGAGGTGGGAGAATCGGTTGAGCCCGGGAGGTGGAGATGGCAGTGAGCCGAGACTGTGCCACTGCACTCCAGCCTGGGCGACAGAGCGAGACCCTGCCTCAAAATAAAAACTAAAGAATTCCCTCCTGACAAAGCAGAGGCCTAACTCCTGAGAGTAGCTTTGTTTTGCTTTGTTTTCCCCGTAGGAGAGGACAGGGACGGGAGTGGTGGGGAGGAGGGGGCGGAACAAAGCCGGAAGTCACTGTGATGCAGGAGAGCAGCGAGGTCCAGGGAGAAAGCCGGCTGCGTCCCGGACTCAGAACTGGAGGAAGCAGGGTCAGAGTTTGGGAGAAGCCAAGGTAAAGTCCCTCGACCATCGCAGCAGGAACGCCCTCTCCTGTGGGAAAGTGCAGCATGTTTGCATGTTTGGGTCACAAGACCCAGTGTGTATCTGATTCCTCGTCTAGAAGATGAGGTGAGGTGACCTTCCCCATCTCCTGAGAGCTTTTGAGAAGCACCGAAGTTAGCCAGTGTGACTGCACTCTGGCCACCTAAAAGAAGGAAACAGCCACCCACGGCGGAAGCATTTGTGTGCTCTGCGGTGGCCTGGACCATCCCAACACCCGTGAGCCCAGATCATCCCTCAGCTCTGACATGTTTCACATTTCTATGACGTGGAGCAAAGCAGATTTACTGCCCTAATTATACAGGGAGGGGATCGCTTAAAAGCAAGAAGATTGAAACAGACGTGGCTAATAACAAAGCCAGCACTGGCCAAGGGTATCTCGTGTCAGGCACTGTTGGAAGCATTGACAGCCGTGGGAGCACTTCCACTTCCACACTCACAGGTCACGGGCACTGGGAGGCCAGGCCAGACCACCGCCAGGTGCGCAACACAAACCCTGACGCGCAGCACGTGCCAGTTTCCATGGTGTCAGTGCTCCCTCTGTGGCCGGCTGCAAGCTGCCCGGGTCTGCTGCAAGCTGTCACCAGCCGGCTCCAGCACTCCTTTGTCAAGGCCACCACGTCAGAGGTGGTGAGGCCTGACTGGAACCCAGCATGCATGCTTCTGTGTCATTCATTCATCCATAGCCAATGACCATTTGGCCTGGGCAACTAATTAGCAAAGGTGATCCAGAGTCATTCCTGCCTAGGGGCAGGACTTCATATGTTCTGGAAGTTCCTTCCTAGACAAGGATCACAGCATCTGGGGTCTGAGTCCATTCCAGAGGCCTGAATAGAATTGGGGGCCTTCAGGAGGAGCAACTCCTCCCCATCCTTGCCTGAGGCTGGCCCTGGTTCAGAACACCAGACAGAAGCCAGCAAAGGCCAGAGCAGGGAAAGGAATAGCAGCTCCAGGTGTCCCCAGAAAGTCCCAAGGGCATGGAGAGGCACTAGCCAGCTGACTCCTGGTTGAACCAGAGGAGCTGAGGTGCGCTGGGTGGCCTGAGTGTGAACAGACCCTTCTGAAAGTCAACCCAGACTCTCGAACACTCAGGTGTTCACGTGCCCAGGGATGAGCAGTTCTCACCCCTCAGGATGCGGCCATTGCTCCTCCTTTCAGAGACCAGCTGGCCACTAAAATCTTACAAAATTTTTTTTTTTTTTTTTTTGAGACGGAGTCTCGCTCTCTTGCCCAGGCTGGAGTGCAGTGGCGCCATCTCACCTCACTGCAACCTCTGCCTCCCAGGTTCCAGCGATTCTCCTGCCTCAGCCTCCTGAGTGGCTGCAATTACAGGCCTGTGCCACCATACCTGGCTCATTTGTGTATTTTTAATAGAGACAGGGTTTCATCATGTCAGTCAGGCTGGTCTCGAACTCCTAAATTCAAGCGATCCGCCTACCTTCGCCTCCCAAAGTGCTGGGATTACAGGTGTGAGCCACCACACCCGGCAAGTTTACTAATCTTAGCTCAGGTGATTCATTCTTTCCACATACGGTAAACTCAGCCCTCTGTGATCACAGGAGAAAGGCCGACACCTGATCCAAAGATCATGGGAACATCACTAGGTCCTCCATGGGAGGATTAGCAGAGACCCCGACTGACCCCAGACTTACAGGGGTCATGTTAGAAAGAGTCTGGGGCTTTTGTAGAGACAGGTGTTTATATCATCTGAAGTTGCTTTTTTCTTTGACTTGTTTAGGCTCACTAAAGCTTTGCTCTAATCCGAACTTCCTTCCTTCTCAGCCCCCCGCCCCCCGCAGTTGACCCTGGGTGCCTTCCAAGGCTGGCCTCTCCCTGCACCTGCTTAGACTGCTCCAAGGAGGAGCACAGTGCGGGGCCCCTCGGGAAAGCAAGGGTGCCCGGGGCAAACAAGGCCAATCCTTCGCAGAAAGGAAAGCCCAGTAAAGACTGCTCTCCTGCCACGGGCCTTGTCCTGCTGAAGAAAGTCCACCAAAAAAGGGCCCTCCTGCCTGGCCCAGAGCCCACCCCAAGGCCCCTGCCCTGGCCCAGAGCCTCAGGTTCCACTGCCTCTGATGCATTCCACCCCTAGGAACTTCGTGGAGGAAAAGATGGGCAGCAAGTTCGTGGAAGGCCGGAGTGTCGAGTTTTCTAAGTCCTACGAGGAGAGCAGCCCCTCCACGCCAATCTTCTTCATCCTCTCCCCCGGGGTTGACCCCTTGAAAGACGTGGAAGCCCTGGGTAAGTGTAGCAGGCAAGCGACGTTCTCAAAGATGAAGTATTGGCCGGGTGCGGTGGCTCACGCCTGTAATCCCAGCACTTTGGGAGGCTAAGATGGGCGGATCATGAGGTCAGGAGGTCGAGACCATCCTGGGTAACATGGTGAAAACCCATCTCTACTAAAAATACAAAAAATTAGCCAGGCATGATGGCAGGTGCCTATAATCGCAGCTACTCGGGAGGCTGAGGCCGGAGAATGGCATGAACCTGGGAGGTGGAGCTTGCAGTGAGCCGAGATCGCGCCACTGCACTCCAGCCTGGTGTACGGAGTGAGACTCCGTCTCCAAAAAAAAAAAAAAAAAAAAAAGATAGGAGTATTGTTGGCGGCATCACCAGGCACCAGGGAAATGTACACCAAAAGTACACGAGACGCCACTTCACACCCAAGATGCCGCTTCACACCCAAGACACCACTTCACGCCCGTAGGATGGTGATGATCAAGAACAGGAAAATAACACGTGTTGTCAGGACCCTGAGAACTGCGACCCTTGTAGGTTGCTGGGAGTATGTAAAATGGGGCCGCTGCTGTGGAAAACAGTCTGGTGGTTTCTCAGCAAGTCACATATAAAATTAGCACATGACCCAGCAATTCCACTCCTGGGTATACACCCAAAAGAACTGGAAATTTAAATTTGTGTCCAAGCAAATGCTCTACACAAATCATTCATAATAGCCAAAAGGCAGAAACCACCCAAATGTCCATTAATTGACGAGTAGATAAGTGGATCAACAGAATGTGGTGGATCTATACGGTGGAATAGTATCCCTCGATTAAAAAAGAGTGAAGCAGGCCAGGCGTGGTAGCTCACACCTGTATCCCAGCACTTTGGGAGGCCAGGGTGGGTGGATCGCTTGATCACAGGAGTTCAAGACCAGCCTTGGCAACATGGCAAAACCCCGTCTCTACAAAACGTACAAAAAAATGTAGCCAGCTATGGTGGTACACGCCTGTGGTTCCAGTTACTCGGGAGGCTGAGGTGGGAGGATCACTGGAGCCCAAAAGTTTGAGGCTGCAGTGAGCCATGATCAAGCCACTGCACTCCAGCCTGAGTGACCAAGTAAGACCCTGTCTCCAAAAAGCATGAAGTAGGCCAGGTGCAGTGGCTCACAGCTGTAGTCCCAGAACTTTGGGAGGCTGAGACAGAAGGATCACCTGAGCCCAGGAGTTCAAGATCAGCCTGGTCAACATAGGGAGACCTTGTCTCTACAGAGAATTTTATCTTATTATATTTATTTTTTATTTTTTTGAAATGGAGTCTGTCTCTGTCGCCCGGGTTGGAGTGCAGTGGCGCGATCTCAGCTCACTGCAAGCTCCGCCTCCCGGGTTTACGCCATTCTCCTGCCTCAGCCTCCCGAATAGCTGGGACTATAGGTGCCCGCCATCTCGCCCTGCAAGTTTTTTGTATTTTTTTAGTAGAGACAGGGTTTCACCGGGTTAGCCAGGATGGTCTCGATCTCCTGACCTCGTGATCCGCCTGTCTCGGCCTCCCAAAGTGCTGGGATTACAGGCTTGAGCCACCGTGCCCGGCCTGAATTTTATAAATTAGCTGGACATAGTGGTGCATGCCTGTGGTCCCAGCTACTCTGGAGGCCAAGGCATAAGGATCACTTGAGCTTGGGAAGTGGAGTTCAGGCTGAGTGACAAGAGTGAGACCCTGTCTCAAAAAAAAGTGAGGCCAAGCACAGTGGCTCACACCTGTAATCCCAGCACTTTGGAAGGCCAAGGCAGGTGGATTGCCTGAGTTCAGGAGTTCGAGACCAGCCTGGCCAATATGGTGAAACCCCCTCTCTACTAAAAATACCAACACTAGTCAGGTGTGGTGGTGGGCGCCTGTAATCCCAGCTACTCAGGAGGCTGAGGCAGAAGAATCACTTGAACCCGGGAGGTGGAGCTTGCAGTGAGCTGAGATGGCGCCACTGCACTCCAACCTGGGCAACAGAGTAAGACTCCGTCTCAGGAAAAAAAAAAAAAAAAACAAGAAGTACTGATACATGCTACAACATGGATGGACCTCAAAAACACTACGCTCAGGGAAAGAGGCCAGACACAAAGGCCCCATATTGTGCAGTTCCCTTGACATGAAATATCCAGAATGGGTAAATCCATGGAGACACAAAGGAGACTGTAGATGAGGGGCTCCTGGAGGAGACCCTGGAGGAGAGATTGGGAGTGACCGTCTAACGGGTATGGGGACCACCTCTTGGGCCATGACAGTGTTCTAGAACCGAACGGATGATTGCACAGCATTGTGAATACACTGAATATCAGTGCACTGTATGCTTTAGGATGGTTTTTAAAACGGCAGGTTTTAGGTTATGTGTATTTCACCACGAAAACTGAACGAGGGAGGCATGTGGAATTCCTGGCTGCACATCACAGAGTCTGAACCCGTGTCGTTTAATTACCTGGTGTTTTTTCCTGTTTTTCTTTAGGAAAAAAACTAGGGTTTACCATAGACAATGGAAAACTCCATAATGTGTCCCTGGGGCAGGGACAAGAAGTGGTGGCTGAGGATGCTCTGGACGTGGCTGCAGAGAAAGGACACTGGGTCATTCTGCAGGTACGAGGGGCCCAGCACTGCGGGGTAAGGGCTCCCCGCACTGAGGTGACCGTGGGGATGGGCCCGAAGGCCCGGCAGGAACCAGGATGTGTAGTTTGCATTCAGAAATGTGGGTGGAAATCCTAACACCACTGAAGGAGGAGGCACCCCTGGTGTCGGCCCTGCTGGGGTCAGCAGGGTGGTGTGGGGCACCATGACTGCCCAGAGGAAAGCATGGATTCAACGGTGGAGGGAAGCTGGACTTTATACGAGACTACCCCAAACAGAGATTATTTAAACAACAAATGGTCAGGCACAGTGGCTCACACCTGTAATCCCAGCACTTTGGGAGGCCGAGGGAGACAAATCTCCTGAGGTCAGGAGTTCGAGACCAGCCTCACCAACATGGCAAAACTCCGTTTCTACTAAAAATACAAAAATTAGCCAAGCGTGGTGGCGCACGCCTGTAATCCCAGCTACTCTGGAGGCTGAGGCAGGAAAATCGCTTGAACCCGGGAGGCAGAGGTTGCAGTGAGCCAAGATCGTGCAACTGCACTCCAGCCTGGGTGACAGAGAGAGACTCCATCTCAAAAAAAAAAAAAAAAAAAACCACAAATGCTGGGTTGACAAAAGCATCCCTCCTCCTCCTCCTCCTCCTCCCTCCCCGCGCTACCCCGCGCTTGGGGCAGGCAGCAAAGCCCAGAGCGCCCAGGAGATGCTCTCTGCACTTTTGGTTAAACCCTAGCACGACCACCCCTCCTCAGCCCCAGAGCCCGCCCAAGACCCCTCCTCACTACCACTTGTCCTCGAGCGCCTCTGGGCCTGTCCTGGCTTCCACGGGTCTTACAGTGTGTGTTGACCTCAATCCACAGGGCTAAGCCTGGCCCCGGTGGGAAGCCCTCGGCTTCAAGAGGAGGGGTGGGGACCACAGAATCTCAGCCTTATGCCAGGGAGGACACAAAGGACTCACCATTAAGGCTGGAGGTTTCCAATTCATTGAACACAAAAATCGATTCTGGGGCCTCAGTTCCTTCACTGAAGACATCCTGCCATGCCCAGCACCTGGTTAGGGTGGACTGGTGGGGGGTGGGGCAGTGCCAGCACCAGGCAAGTGTGGGGTGCTGGCAGAAGAGCCCTGCCCTCACCAGGGAACACAGCCGCGTGCCTGCCTGTCCTCGTGGGCCCGGGGCCGGGGAAAGCATGTAACCAGCCTCTGGTCTTGGCTGCAGAACATCCACCTGGTGGCCCGGTGGCTGGGGACGCTGGACAAGAAGCTGGAGCGCTACAGCACGGGTAGCCATGAGGACTACCGGGTGTTCATCAGCGCGGAGCCTGCCCCCAGCCCCGAGACCCACATCATCCCCCAGGGCATCCTGGAGAACGCCATCAAGATCACCAACGAACCCCCCACGGGCATGCATGCCAACTTGCACAAGGCCCTGGACCTGTTCACCCAGGTAAGGCCATGCCTGTTCGGGCTGCCTCGCCATCCCATGCCAGGGCCTGGCATCCATCCCTTGGGGCCCTGAGGACCACTCTGAACTCTGGGGACACCTCCCCTCTGGGTTTCCCCTGTCCACACACCCCTCACAGTCAAAATCCTAAAAGGCAGAAACATGCAAATCATTTCAGGTGCTGTGGCACATTTATTACTTAAAGCTTTAGATGCAGAAACACATAGTTTTTAATCAGTTTTATGAACTTGCAAATGAGGGCTGGTAGATGCTGTCCATTGTGTTTGAAGAGCGTAGAACACGTCAGGACTGCTCCTTGGAAATGGGGCCAAGCTCCGTGGGGAGTCGACCTCCCTCCACTGCTGGAGGCTGTGGGCAACCAGGGAAGATGGGGATGCTGTACTTGCTGGGGCTCCGGACGCATGACCGGGTTTCCTTGCCTTCAACCCCTCCTCTGATCCACCATCAGCAGGAACAGCTGCCAAAACGCAGCCGGCTAGGGAGCCTGGCCCCTACTCAGCTGCAGCGGCCGCTGACTGCCTCCGGGGCAGAGGGGGAAGGCCTGGCCTGCCTGGCACCTGGGACTCGAGGACCCTCCTTGGCTGGGATCCCACTTGTGCACCTGCCTGGGGTCTGACCTCAACTGACTCTTCCCTCATAGACCTCACGGCTTCCCCCAAGTGCCACCTTCTCCACAGCCTTCCTGGCTGCGGTTTTTGTTTGTTTGTTTTTGAGAAGGAGTCTCACTCTGTCACCCAGGCTGGAGTGCAGTGGTGCTATCTCGACTCACTGCAACCTCCACCTCCTGGGTTCAAGCAATTCTTGTGCCTCAGACTCCTGAGTAGCTGGGATTACAGGCATGCACCACCACACCCAGCTAATTTGTGTATTTTTAGTAGAGACGGGGTTTTGCCATGTTGGCCGGGCTGATCTCGAACTCTTGATCTCAGGTGATCCACCTGCCTTGGGCTCCCAAATCCTGGCCACTCTTGTCCTCGGGGGTGCTCCTGTCTGCAGGTCCTCATGTCAATATTTCTCCTTTTGGCATCTCAGCATTTTCTCTGTCTAGAACTTTTTCTGTGCACAAACTTGATCTCCCAAGTGGAGCCTAAAACCTTTTTGAGGTTTGACACCCTGTATTCTTTTTTTTTTTTTTTTTTTTTTTTGAGACGGAGTTCCACTCTTGTTGCCCAGGCTAGAGTGAAAGGGCGTGACCTCGGCTCACTGAAACCTCTGCCTCCTGGGTTCAAGCAATTCTCCTGCCTCAGCCTCCCAAGTAGCTGGGATTACAGGCACCCACCACCATGCCTGGCTAGTTTTTTTGTATTGTTAGTAGAGATGGGGTTTCACCATGTTGGCCAGGCTGGCCTCAAACTCCTGACCTCAGGTGATCCACCTGCCTTGGCCTCCTAAATAGCTGGGATTACAGGCACGAGCCACCACGCCCGGCCGACACCCTGTATTCTTCTATAACCCCTAACAAAGATCTGCTTATGGGGTGTTTTATCGGTCCATGAATGCGTGCCGTCCATGCCTGATACATTTTTTAAAAGTACTTACATGGAAATATTGGAGTCACCCACTAACAATTTCCATCAGCTTTTAAAGGATACATCCTTGTCAAAGTGTGAAAGTAAAAGAAAAAGCAGAAAAACAAATGTTTAAAATGGGTCCCCCATTCCATTAACCAAACAATCGACACCACACACCTCCCGCCTTGGCCTGCACCCTGCTGAGGGGCGTGAGGATGCGTCTTGGAAGCAGCACCCTAGTGTGATGAGTGCTGTGCGGCGCACACGGTGCCGTGGGGCCATGCAGCTCACAGCGGCCCTGAGGTCAGCACCGGTCCTGGAACGGTTTCTGCCAGTCTATACGAGATCAACGCAGAAACCCAGAAGGCACTTAGCGAACTTTGCAGCGACCCGACACTGCTGTGAATCGAAGCACGGGGACGGTTTTTCCTTTGGTGTTCCATTTTATTGTATTTTGCAAAGTGTCAGTGACAGGGATCGGGGCACTTAGGCAAGGACTGGGCCTTCACTTCCAGCCAGCGTGGAGCCCTGCCAGCCAGCACATGGAGTGGCACCTCATCCCATCTCTGGCTGGGGAGGTGGGTGGCCAGGGAGTGACAGCTGAGACCTGAGGGTAAGGAAACCCTTCACAAGTTCAGGGACCAGTTGCCTCTGAGGGGTTGTGGGCCTCTGAGAACAAGGGCCCAGGGGCAGAAGTGGTGGTGGGTGGAACCTGCATGTCCATGATGCCACAGACCTGAGTGCGGGCAGGCTGGTGAAAAGCACCCGATCGGATGGACTCTGGAGGATGGACGGACGGTGACACCCACCAGGCCTTCCCTTGTCCTTGCGGGCTGGCGAGTCTCCCATTTGCTGGTGTCACTCTGGCTCTCCAAGTGTTCACTGCCAGCGCCCTCCCCAGGGAGCTGAGGTCTGAAAGGGACTGGCCAGGCCAGTCTCCTGGGCCCACCGTCTCCATCCCAGGCAGCCAGGAGGGGATATTCAGGTGATAGAACTCCAGCCGTTCCCCTTCTTGTCCATGTTGCCAGAGGGGCCTGTGCCAGGCTTTCTATGATGCCCAGGACAGGGCCCCACTCTTGGTCCACCCAGGGCACTTCCCCTGACATTTATCTGTCCCTCCCCAGCGGGAGCCTCGGCCACTGTGCCTGCGGCCCACCCAGAGTGCCTGGCCCTAGAGGTACTCCCAGCCGCTGAGCAGAGCAGGTGGAGCACAGCTCGGTTTCAAGAAGCCTGTGTGTGTTCAGGAGTCACTACATAGCAAAGATTAACGAGTAAAAGTGCACAAAGCCAGAGACCTAGGAGTCACAATTGGGGCTCAGATGGCCCTGGAGCCAGATAAAAAGGGTTTAAGAAGCGACTCCACCCCATCCCCCCATCCCCTATCCCATCCCCCATCCCATCCCCCATCCTCTATTCCATTCCCTATCCTGATGGAACTTTACCAGTTGTTTTTAGAGTTTGGGATACTGTGCGTAAGTGATGAGGAATGTTGGTAATTACAAAGGAACATTCTTTCTTATTAAAGTAGTCCCAAAACGTCCAGGATTTGGGAAGATCTTATTAGGAAGCAGTATCAATAATTCAACTTGTAATAAGTACTTGAAAGGGATAAAACGGCCTTTCTGAAAGAAAGAAAATCATACTCAGTCATGCCAGCCCAGCTTTCCCTGCAGCTGGTCTGATGGAGACCCGCTCAGCCCACAGCTTTGTCCCCCCACCACCCCCACCCCAGCAAAGCATCTGGCAAGGGCTGGACGCTAGTCACCCTCAGGGGCATTTCTGTGTAAATTTCTCCCTCTCTGTAACACCTGACTGGAGCGTGTGCCCCACAGGACACCCTGGAGATGTGCACCAAGGAGATGGAGTTCAAGTGCATCCTCTTTGCCCTGTGCTACTTCCACGCAGTGGTGGCAGAGAGGCGCAAGTTCGGTGCCCAGGGCTGGAACCGGTCATACCCCTTCAACAACGGGGACCTCACCATCTCCATCAACGTGCTCTACAACTACCTGGAGGCCAACCCCAAGGTGAGGGGCTCAGTGGGCCCTGTGCTTGGACGTATCCCTCCCTCCCTCCCTCCCTCCCTCCCTCCCTCCCTCCCTCCTTCCCTCCCTCCTTCCCTCCTTCCCTCCCTCCCTCCCTCCTTCCCTCCTTCCCTCCCTTTCCTTTTGGTCTTTGTCTTAAAAGACATCAAGTAGCCCTGGGCGACAGAGCAAGATACCATCTCAAAAAAAAAAAAAAAAGACATCAAGGAGGTTTCACAAACCAGAGAGAGCTTGAAAGGCAGCACCATCTGTGCTCTCTCCAGCCTGATGTAACAACGGTCAGTCCTCCGCCCCCACCTCCTGCAGGAGCCGCTTCTGCTTGTTGGCACACTCCACGCTACCTGCCCCTCCTGCACCTGGGCGGGGATTCCCCCAGAATCCTGGCACCGCAGGCTGTGAGCTGGGACTCGGCGGGGAGGACAAGCAGGGCTTCCTGGGCTGCAGGCCTCACCATTGCTCTGTCAGTGTCTGGAGAGAACCCAGGTTTGGAGCAGGACGGGCAGAAAACCTCCGTGGATAGAAGGGAGCCCTGTGTCCATTATGAGAACACATAAAGGCGCATGCAGACTCCACAGAGGACTGAGCAGAAAGGCGCACATCCTCCGGAAATGGTCTGCAGCAGGAGGCACAGCAGGTTGGGGCACAGAGCAAGGTACACAGCAGGGAGGGCACAGGTTGGGGACCAGACGGTAGCGTATGAATCCCAGACCTGCTATTCACTGGATGGAGGTCCTCTGTAAGCAGCACATACGCCGCTAGGCCCTGCAGCCCCATCTACAGTCTCCTAAGACTTGGCCACCCCATCCATAAACTGGAGAGCGCAGCAGTGCCCACCACACAGGGCTCTTACAAGGCTCTGACTCAGGCTAAGCCTGGCACAGGCCCAGGAGCCCCTCGCCCAGAAGCCCCTCGCCCAGAAGGCAGAAGGCGGTGCACACCCCTATAAACCCTGGGTCCTCCTCCTCACTCTCAGCCTCCAAATCAAGAGCAACATGGACCCTGGCTCTGAGACAGCAAGGCCCGGGCGCCCTCTTACAGACTGGGAGGCAGATGGGAAGAAAGCAGCGCTCAGCTGCACGGGGGCGCTGCTGACTGCGTGGGGCCGCTACCTGCGTGAGGCCACTACCTGCGTGAGGCCTTGGGGTTGGAGCACTCCCAGGGCCTGGGTGGTTAAACACCTGCCCCTGTGACATGAGAAACAGTGCTGGCACCAGGGGGGAAATGTTCGAAGCCCGCTCTGCCACTCATTCACTGAGACCTCGAGCAAGTCACTGGACCACTAAGCCTGCTTCCTCACGGGCGGAACAGGGATGACGCCTCCGCCTCAGAGCCTTGGGGCTTCAATGAGGGAAGCCTGGCCTAGCAATGCCAGCTTCAGGAAGCCCCTCTTTTTTTCCATCTCCTTGTAATAAAGCTCAGGACCTGGCCCACTAAGCCCCAGGCATGCACAGCACACGTGCTCTCAGTGGGTGTCCTGAGAAGGCCCCCAGGAGGTGACCTCTGATGTCAAGCACCCTGCCTGGGAGGCCATGACAAAGCCTCCTCACTGAGGCTGGAGGACAACGACCTCCCAGACTGCTGCTGGCGAAGGCTGGGCCTGGAACATGGTATGCTTTGTTCTTTGGGAGGCACACCAGCCCTGGAGCAGCAGGGGGCAGAACTGGGCCGGGACTCGGCTCCCCGTGCTCCCCGGCAATGGGCCACCGCAGGCCGTAGACGCCAGCAGGGGAAGGTGGCCTCCATCTGCCGGTCGATGGGGCAAGGTGCCAGCAGGACGTTTCACCCAGAACAAGACCCGGACCTGAAAACACTCCCAGACGCACGCAGGATGTTCAAAGGGACTTTCAGCACGGAGGGACGGCCTAACCAAGCAGACTAGTTTGGGAGAAAGTCTGGCTAGAAGTTTTTTATTTGAAATTTTTAATTTTTTTTTTTTTTTTGAGACAGGGCCTCACTGTTACTTGGGCAGGAGTGCAGTGGCACAATCACAGCTCACTGCAGCCTTCATCTCCTGGGCTCAGGTGATCCTCCCACCCCCGCCTCCGCCTCCCAAGTAGCTGGGACTACAGGGGCCACTACACCCAGTTAATTTTTTGTTTGTTTTTTGTAAAGACGGGGTTTTGCCATGTTGCCTAGGCTGATCTCAAACTCCTGGGCTCAAGTGATCTGCCCACCTCGGCCTCCCAAGGTGCTGGGATTACAGACGTGAGCCACTGCGCCTGGCCAGATTAGGATTTTTAAGACAGTTCCTTAGCCATTGCGCACTGACACACACTGGGCAGCTTCTAGGCTGCTGAGAAGCCACACGAGTACCATGTACGTCAGCGGCTGCCACATGCTGAGGCGCAGTGTCCTGATGTGGCCTGCGCTGGCCAACCTTCCCTCTGTCCTCAGGCCTCCCTCCCCCTCCACAGACTCCCCACCAGCTCCCACATTCCCTTCATGGCACAGGTCATGCTACACGCTGAGTGACCACGGGGAATGATGTCATCTGGGTCCATGACCTGCTCAGCCCTCTAGGCTCTGAGGAAATAGATCAGGGATTCCCACACGAACGGAAGACAAAAGGCTGCTGGAACCTTGCTTTGAAACACAGAGCAAGCTGCAGGGACTCCCAGGGAGGGGCCTGAGAGCTACAGCTCCCTCAGGAGTCTCTGGGGGATTCCCTCAGCAGGTGCGGGAAATGCAGACAGCACCCACCCCCGCCCACTGCAGGAAACCACCCTCCTGAGGAGTGTGGGTGGGGGTCAGGAGGGAGAGTGGGGCACAGGTCTCCCTGCCTTTCGGGAGACACAGACGCTGCCTCCAAAGCTGCTAAGCAAGATGCAGGAAAAGCAGCCCGCAAACACTTGTGGCGACCAGACAGAGAAGGTTTTAAGTCACAAATGATAATTTGGAAAATATTAATGTTTTGAGTAAAATTTCATGACACTAAGCCAAGTGCAGTGGCCCAAGTCTATAATCCCAGCACTGTGGGAGGCCGAGGCAGGAGGACTGCTTGAGCCTAGGAGTTCAAAACCAGCATGCCCAACACAGCAAGACCCTGTCTCTACAAAAAATTTAAAACACTATAGTCTGGAATGGTGGTGAGTGACTGTAGGCCCAGCTACTTGGGAGGCTGATGTGGGAGGGTCACTTGAACCCAGATCAAGGCTGCGTGAGCCATGTTTGCACCACTGCACTCCAGCCTGGGACACAGAACAAGACCCTGTCTAAAAAGCATACATATGTGGGCCAGACACAGTGGCTCACACCTGTAATCCCAGCACTTTGGGAGGCTGAGGCGGGCGGATCACCTGAGGTCAGGAGTTCAAGACCAGCCTGGGCAACATAATGAAATCTCATCTTTACTAAAAATCCAAAATATTAGCTGGCTGTGGTGATGTGCGCCTGTAATCCCAGCTACTCAGGAGGCTGAAGCAGAACTGCCTGAACCCCGGAGGCAGAGGTTTCAGTGAGCAGAGACTGCGCCACTGCACTCCAGCCTGGACAACAGAGCAAGACTCCATCTCAAAAATAAGCAACCTAAAAAATATATACATATGTATATAAACTCATGAGACCAAATCAGATGATTGATGAATCAACTGGTTCTTATTCAATGAACTCACTGGTATTTGACGACAGCTCTTCTGGGCAGCACACAGCGGAAGTGCTGTTATGAAAGCATCCGTCTCGCGCTTCAGGAGCTGCAGACTTCAGGGAAAGAACAGGTGTGCAGAACTGGAGAGAAGCTGACCGTGAGCAGCAGGATTTCGCATGCTGGGTACCAAAAGAGAATGTCAATTATCTTATTTTTATCCCAATTACATGTTGGAATTCTCTCTTTTAAAGTGGTTGCCACAAAATTTAAAATGACATTTGTGGCCTCGATCCGTGGCTCCCACCATCCTTCTGCTGAACTGCGCTGTGCAGGAGGAGGCTCCACAGTGGGCACATGGAGGCGGGAGGAAAAAGGGCCGGCTTCATGGCAAGGACGCCCATGAGCCAGACTTTGTAGAAGGAAGAGTGTTCCGGGGCGAAGGTGTGACGTGAGACCGCAAGGAAGCCTGGAGGGCAGTGGGAACGGCAGCAGGGAGGCGTGTGGTCGCCTGGCGTGTGCTCTGGTCCATACTGCTGAGTTTGGTCTTCATTCCCTAAGGCCCAGGCAGCCTAGGTCAGATAAGTCACTTGCTCAAACCCTCTATGTGACTGCAAAGACCCTGGAGGCACAGGAGCTACTAGAAGGATGAGAACCAGGAAGGACTCGACTTCCACAAGGTGGAAGACTCACCAGATGCATCTGAAGATGTGACTAACTAGACTTCATCGACAAAAGACCGACAGCACTGGAGTCAATCCTTGAGTCACACAGAATCAAACCACTTGTGTTGAAACTGGACCATAAAGGGCAGTCTCGAATGTAACACAGAGCGGGAGAGGCAGAGGGAACAAGTTCCGATTCAGCCCTGTGGCCTCTGAGGCACAGTGAAGCACAGCAAACACCTGCCCCACAGGAGGTGCAGAGAGCACCGCCTGCAGAAGTGCTGTCCGAGGTGGAGGGAGGTGCCGCACAGCCCCTTGTGAGAGAAGCCAAAGGGGCCGGACACTGGTGTCTGATGGTGCGGGATAGGGAAGAAAGGTGGCCCTGGGGCCTGGCGACCCTGAAGGTAAACGGCCACGAGGCCGACCTGGAGGACAAGAAGGCCGCAGCACCAAAGGCTGGGTTCCCATGCCCTGCCTGCCTGAGCCTGACCCTCTTTCATGGCAGAGAAGGGGCACAGGGGCGCATCTTCCCCTACACACTGTCATCCTTCCTCAGGTGCCCTGGGACGATCTCCGCTACCTTTTTGGTGAAATCATGTATGGCGGCCACATCACAGATGATTGGGACCGTAGGCTGTGCAGGACCTACCTGGCCGAATACATCCGAACGGAGATGCTGGAGGGAGGCGTCCTGCTGGCCCCCGGCTTTCAGATCCCCCCCAACCTGGACTACAAGGTAAGGTGACAAGTTAAACAGGAGCTTAACGTCATGAAGGTTCGTGCCTCCCAGTGAGAGCCTGGCAGCACAAATGGAGTATCCATAACTGAGCAAGAACCCAGGCAACCAAACTAAGAGGATGAGAAATGTGTCTCACTTAGAAGAAGCACAAGGCTAATACAAACAACTTTTTTTTTTTTTTTTTTTTTTTGAGACAGAGTCTTGCTCTGCCGCCCAGGCTGGAGTGCAGTGGCCGGATCTCAGCTCACTGCAAGCTCCGCCTCCGGGGTTTACGCCATTCTCCTGCCTCAGCCTCCCGAGTAGCTGGGACTACAGGCACCCGCCACGTCGCCCGGCTAGTTTTTTGTATTTTTTTAGTAGAGACGGGGTTTCACCTTGTTAGCCAGGATGGTCTCGATCTCCTGACCTTGTGATCCACCCGTCTCGGCCTCCCAAAGTGCTGGGATTACAGGCTTGAGCCACCACGCCCGGCCACAACTTTATTTTTTTAAATTTAAAAAACAGAAATGCAGCCTCAGGGAAGGGGGAATGGAATTTTCCTTTATGTTGCTGGGAGCACAGGGGGCAGCCCACAAAGGGGGCTGGGAAACAAGTGGGATCCGTACAGAGAGCAAGACGTGGGTGGAACGTTCTGGCAAGGAACGCTTAACGAACAGGACATGGGTTTCAGCCTGCACAGCTTTGCGTCTGCTTACAAACTGCCCTCTTTTTTAGGGTTACCACGAATACATCGATGAGAACCTGCCCCCCGAGAGTCCCTACCTATACGGCCTGCACCCCAACGCAGAGATTGGCTTTCTGACGGTCACCTCAGAGAAGCTGTTCCGCACTGTCCTGGAAATGCAGCCCAAAGAGACGGACTCAGGGGCAGGCACAGGAGTGTCCCGCGAGGAGAAGGCAGGATCTTTAAAACCGCTACCAAGCAAGAGGAAGGGGGAGGATCTAGAACCGGGGACGGGGTGGCAGGAACTGGCGGCAGTACAGGGGAACTTGCTGGTGAGGTACACCCTGCCCCAGCCTCGGGCTTGGGTATCAGAAACGCTGGGGTGGGACCCACAGGCTGGTCGGCAGGTCCTCAGGCATGGCAGCTGCAGGCTTCGTTCGGGTGAGGGCATGGGCCCAGACAAAAGGGATCCTCAGGGGTGTGGATGCGGCTCCGAGAGCACCCCAGCCCTCCGCCCTGCAGTCTTCCAGCTTCCCCAGCTGAGTGCCAGGGAAGATACCGGCCATTCCCCACCCTGGCCCGGCCAGCACAACAGCAGTAGCAGCTTGTGCAGGGCAGCCGGATGAGCAGGAAGGTGCTCCAGAGCAGCTCAGGGGCCACGACGGCAGGTCCTGCTGCTCACAGTATTAGATAGAGCTCAGGGATGTCAGTGCTCTGAACAAATTCTCACTTGTCTGGGGAGCTCTGTGCGGCCTCCTGGGTACCTCCCCCGCTTTTTTTTTTTTTTTTTTGGACGGGGTTTTTCTCTCGTTGCCCAGGCTGGAGTACAATGGCGCGATCTCGGTTCACTGCAACCTCCGCCTCCCGGGTTCAAGCGATTCTCCTGGCTCAGCCTCCCAAGTAGCTAGGATTACAGGCACACACCACCACGCCTGGCTAATTTTGTATTTGTGATAGAGACAGGATTTCACCATGTTGGCCAGGCTGGTCTTGAACTCCTGATCTCGGGTGACCAACCCACCTTGGCCTCCCAAAGTGCTGGGATTACAGGTATGAGCCACTGCACCTGGTCTGTACTTCTTGATAGAATGTGGAAAAGCTCTATTATGTATTAGCCAAGCACTAGGCTTCCCAGTAGACTGAATTCTCTATGTGAAACCCTTCTTAGTCTAATGATTGACATTAGAAACTGACTGACAGATGGTGTGCAGGTGACCACTGCACTGTGTGGGCCACTCCTTAACAGGGTGTGACCGGCATGGTCCCTGCAGACAGCCCAAGTAAAGGACAAAGTTGCAATCCCTCAACCACTGGCTAAATTTGACCAGAGGCCGGTGCATGGGAATAAACGTCTGAGGCACTGGGCCAGGTGGCCTGAGGCACCCATGGCCGCAGCTGCAGGGCCTTGTAGTGAGATCAGAACATTCAGAGCCGCTGGCCAAGGCTCCCACCCCTGGTCAAGGGTGTGGCTGCACCCACGACCCTGCGTTTCTGGCCACCCCACTTGCCTCCCCCCTCCCCTCCAGGAGTCGGGGCTGGGAACATTCGGGGCGGGCTCCCTGACCCTGCAGCAGGTGGGGCGCGCTCCTCGCAGTGACGGGCTATCTGGGGACTGGCTTCCAGGTGAAGGCCGTGCTGGACGACATCCTGGAGAAGATTCCGGAGACTTTCAACATGGCTGAGATCATGGCAAAGGCAGCGGAAAAGACCCCCTACGTGGTAGTCGCCTTTCAAGAATGTGAAAGAATGAACATCCTGACCAACGAAATGCGCCGTTCACTGAAGGAGCTGAACCTAGGGCTGAAGGTAAAGATGGGTCAGCCAGGCCCCAAGGACGTGGCTGGATGGCGAAACCAGCAGAAACCCAGGCCTCTGGCAACCCAGGCCTAGCACGGGCCCTGGAATCAGCATGGTACTGCTCCCTCTCCAGAGTTGTGGCCGTTCCAGAACAAGCCCCAAGGAGCTCATCTAGATAGTTCCTGAGCAGGAAGCGCTTGCGCGGCCCTGATGCAGGGTGTCTCGAGAGGCGCAGCACAAAACCACACTGTGTTGACAACTCGTGACATGCACTGGGGCTGGTGCTCTCCCAGGCCCCAACCCAGGGCTCTGTCTGTGTGTCTCCTAGGGAGAATTGACCATCACGACCGACATGGAAGATCTGTCCACGGCTCTCTTCTATGACACCGTGCCTGACACGTGGGTGGCCCGGGCCTACCCCTCCATGATGGGCCTGGCGGCCTGGTACGCAGACCTGCTGCTCCGCATCAGGGTAAGTGCCGTTTTCTCTGAGAGGCTTCCTAAGACTCAGGGACTGAGTGCCCAGGGCTCGGCACACCCCACACCCTAGAGCCTGCAGGAGCATGGCCAGGAGGCTCCTGGGGGCCTGTCCTCCATCAGACCAGGGCCAGAAGGGCCTAGCCCACGCCCCACCCATCCCCTCCCACGCCCTGACAGTGCAGCCACTTCCTCCCAAAGGAGGAAAACAAGCCAGGCCACAGAGAGCAGCTTCCATCAGCTCTTCCTTGAGCGACCCTCAAAGGGTAAGCTGCCCGCTGTAAGGAGCGAGGCAGTGAAGGCAAGAGCCTCTCTGGGCTCCTAAATTATCCACAAACGGGTAGCCATTCCCTTCCTGACCCTTCTCTACCTGTTCCCTTGTTTAAAATGGAGCAGACAACAGCTGGACGTGGTGGCTCATGCCTGTAATCCCAGTACTTTGGGAGATCAAGGCAGGAGGATCACTTGAGGCCAGGAGTTCGAGATCAGCCTGGCCAACATGGCGAAACCCCGTCTCTACTAAAAATACAAAAATAAGCCAAGCATGATGGCCTGCACCTGTAATCTCAGCTACTTAGGAGGCTGAGGCAGAAGAATCGCTCGAACCCAGGAGGTGGAGGTTGTGGTGAGCCAAGATTGTGCCATTGCACTCCAGCCTGGGTGACAGAGCGAACTCCGTCTCAAAAAAAAAAAAAGGCAGATACCAAAGTTGCGTCACAGCAGGTGGCTGGGCTCCACGGCCCCTACTCTGTCCAGCACTTCTAGCTTGCTGAGTAGCCCATGGAAGGTTCTGGCATGAACCCTGCTCAGAACGGCCAAGGCCCTGTCGTTCCCATGTCATCCTGTGCCCTCTCCTCTCAGTGGCTCGTGTGTCCTTGCAGGAACTCGAGGCCTGGACAACAGACTTTGCCCTGCCCACCACCGTGTGGCTGGCTGGCTTCTTCAACCCCCAGTCGTTCCTCACGGCCATCATGCAGTCCATGGCCAGAAAGAACGAGTGGCCCCTGGACAAGATGTGTCTGTCTGTGGAGGTGACCAAGAAAAACCGAGAGGACATGACCGCTCCCCCCCGAGAGGGCTCCTATGTGTATGGACTCTTCATGGAAGGTAAGGAGGGTTCTTTCTGTCTGCAGAAGCTTCCAGAGCCAGTGCTACTTGCCAAGACGAGATAAAACTAGCTCTTGGCAAAGACAGGCTGTTCAAGAGCTGTGGGGACAGGCAGGAGAGAGGTGCTCTCAGGGGGCATCAGCCTGCAGGTCAGAGCCACACTGACCCTAGAGAGGGTTGAGAGGATTCAGGGAATGTGCAGTGGTCCGGAGGAGACCAAAAACGCCCCAGTCACTTGGTCTGTGTTTTAGTGAAAACAGCACAGCTTGTGTGAGAGCGGCTCCGACCTGATGAGAAGTGCTGAAAAGCTCAGGCTTTCCCCGGCATGGAGCAGTGAGCCCAGGACAGAAGTGCGTTTTGTGGCTGCGCTGAGACTCCAGGGCAGGCCGGCTGGCCCAGTCCCACCCGATCCCCAGCTGCTGCGGCTCCTGGAGCACAGGGTTCAAGGGAAAAGAGGCTGGCGCACCTGTTAGAAATCTACCCCCACATCACCCCTATCCTGCTACACAGAAGGGGTCAGACAGGACAACGAGGCCGGCCATCTCCTCAGCCCACCTCTGAGTTGAGCAGCAATGCCACCACCACATACCTGTCCCCTTCAACAGCTGACATCACCCTGTTACCTGTGGGGTGGCAGGGCTGGGCTGGCACTGGCTCAGGCGCCCCATTTCCTACACAACCAAGACAAGCTCTCCATGTTTATTCTGAGATTTCAGACAGGAAACAAACATCATTAAACAGGGCGAGTAGAAATAATAGTCTGGTTGAAGGCAAATAATATTTATATACATAGCTGTATGTACACATAGAGCAGACATTACACATGAAGAATCAGGGAACTTTAATTTTTAGCTGGAGTTATGATTTCCTGCCACTGACATTAAGGCTGACAGATGAGGCTCTGAAAACGCCACAGATTTAAATGGATGGAACCCGAGGGCTTTAGCTGAGCCGTTCCTCGTGCCCAGCGAGACGGGGTAGTTACAACATGCACGCCATCACCTATGAAGGCCTCTGCTTCCTGCTGTGGCACCTGGCCTGAAGCCTTTTGGGGTGGAGCCCATCTCTGCAAAGGGAGGACCCCTCCCTTACTTACTGGCAGCACACCCGGCCCTCAGCCATACTGTCCCTGCAGGGGCTCGCTGGGACACCCAGACCGGAGTCATCGCAGAAGCGCGGCTGAAGGAGCTGACCCCAGCCATGCCTGTCATCTTCATCAAGGCCATTCCTGTGGACCGCATGGAGACCAAGAACATCTATGAGTGTCCCGTGTACAAAACACGCATCCGCGGCCCCACCTACGTCTGGACCTTTAACCTGAAGACCAAGGAGAAGGCAGCGAAGTGGGTCCTGGCAGCCGTGGCGCTGCTGCTGCAGGTTTAGCTCACCCCCGCCTCACGGCCCACGCTCCCCGGGGCTGGACCACGACTCAGCCCTTCACCTGTGACTTATTATTTACAGGAACTGGTGGTTGCTTTTGTTCTCTTAAATAATCAAGGTGCTTTGTAACCAAGCACATCTGAACTAACCAGAGGGTGGAGGTTGGCGTGGAAGAGGTGGGGCAGATTAAAGCCTGTGGAGCCATTCAGTTGTGCCCATCTGACTCCATTCTGTACCTGATGGCCACCGTAGGGCCTGGCTCAGGCTTTGGGGAAAGGCCCCAATTCCCAGCAGCCAGAGGCAAGCATTCCAGGAAGCAAACCCTACATCCTGACTTCCTGGCGGGGGGGGGTCAGTGGGGTTTGTTTTTAACATGAGCAGCATGTGGGGTGAAGGCTTGGCACTCACACCCTCCGGCCTGATGCTACATGCAAACCACCTGCCAATGAGGGGACAGGGCGTTGCCCCGTAACAGAAGCTGCCACCTCCACACAACGTCTCATCTGCCATTACTCCCCGCTCCCAAAAACAACAGGACCTTTTACAAGTAAGGAAACACACCCAAGCCCCCGCCCCCAGAGTCTAGAAGAACAAGCCGTTCCCACAAGCCAGCCCCGGACGTGTGGGGCTCTGCGGCTGTGCTGATGCAGGACACGGCAGTGAGGTGGCCAGGCTGGCTACGGCAGCAGGGTGCAGGCACAAGGGGAGAGGATTAACTAGCAACCTGGGGGATGAGGGGAGGCAGCTGTAAACGCCAGAAAAGATAGATCCCAGGGGGACCAAGACAGAGTCCTCAACTTTTTTTTTTTTTTTTTGAGACAGTTTCACTCTTGTTGCCCAGGCTGGAATGCAATGATGCAATCTTGGCTCACTGCAACCTCCACCTCCTGGGCTCAAGCGATTCTCCTGCTTCAACCTCCCAAGTAGCTGGGACTACAGGCACCTACCACCACACCCAGCTAATTTTTGTATTTTTAGTAGAGACAGGGTTTCACCATGGTGGCCAGGCTGTTCTCAAACTCCTGACCTCAGGTGATTCACTGACCTTGGCCTCCCAAAGTGCTGGGATTACAAGTGTGAACCACTGCGCCCGGCCCTCGAAGTTTCTTAGGCTTCAAAGCAAAGCAGGCTGGTGCAGCAGTTCACACCTCTAATCCCAGGATGGCGGGATTACTTGAGCCTGGGCAACATGGCAAAACCATCTCTGCCAAAAATACAAAAAATGAGCCGGGAATGTTGTATGTGCCTGTAGTCCCAGCTAGTCAGGAGGCTGAGGCAAGAGGGTCGCTTGAGCCCATGAGGTCAAGTATGCAGCAAGCCATGATCATGCTACTGCACTCCAGCCTGGGTGACAGAATAGACCCTGTCTCAAAAGGGGGAAAAAAGGCAAACACACCCACTGGGAATGTCTAAGTTCAGCTTGATCATCAAGTTTTGCAAAAACATTTTTCCAAGTTTACTCACCTAAATCATGGGTTAAGAAGCATCTAGAAAATCCAAATTCTGAGGGTAATGATTCACAACAATCTTAGGGCCCAGTAGGGCTATCGGAGGGAGAAGAAAAACATCCCTCAAATCCTCCCTTCCTGGCGCCCAAGGAAGGAATCCAGCCCCTTTGGGGCTGCAGAGGAGGCAGTTTCAGCCTCCCCCAGCCTGGCTGGGCCAATACCTCTGCTGGCCAGGAGGGGTCACTGCAGCCCTTCAGGTGACCAGGGGAGATAAAGCTGCCAGGGGCCACCAAGCAACTCACTTCAGTCCCTGGTAATAACCACAAAATGTGAAGTTTTTCCATTTTGCCTTTAAATCATGAAATAAGAGTAATCTATTCCACACATATATATCGTGGGTAGTTGACAAAATTATCTCTAAACTTTCCAAGAGATGATTCGCACTTAAGCTGCACTCCAGCGACAAAACACGGGGACTGGAGCACAACAGCCCCATGCACCTAGAACGCCGGGAGGACTGCGGCGGCGACCACCCGCTGTTCTCTGTTGCTCTGGTTGCTTTGCAGAGTTAGGGAGCCTTGGTCTGGGGAGCTCCTCGGGGAGAACCTGCCTAGGACAGCCTCGAAGGTCATTAGCCAAGACAGAGGGAGCAGTGGTGCGCTGCGGGAACAGCACTGCAGATGGCTTCGGCCGGGCTGTGGCACAATGATGTTTACTCTGGTCCCACAGAATCTGGAGGAATGCAAACTCTGTTTACCGAAAGCCTCTCTCCAAACAGAAACCCACTGCCCCTGCACATTCCTTTGGCTCCTCTAGTCTAATTGTCCCACAAGACAGAGTAATGACTAGTTTGAAGGCAAACTGTTAACTGATGTGCTGCTGCCCAGGGCAGTGTGGCCAGGCCGCCACTCCATCTATCCCCAGCCACTCAAACTGCAGTTCTGCCTGGTGCGGGGACTGCAGCTGCCCTTGTCTAAGACCAGGTGAGCCCATGAACCAGACCCCATGAAGGGTGACAGTGGCTGCTGCCAGCCCTCGGGAGGGAAAGGCAAGAAGCTGCTTCTAGAGAGGCAAAGTACAGGGACTAAATCTAATCTCACCCCACGAAAGGAAAGGCTGCCATGCCCTGCAGCCCAGGAAGCTTCTCTCTGTGCAAGGGTCAAGCACCTCAAGATAAAGAGATCAGGCAGTGAGGTTACGAAAGCTGCTCCTGGAGACACGGGGGGGATGTGGAGAGCTGGCTTTATAAACACACATGACGTGGATTCAAAATCCCCTGCTACTAGGTGACACAAAAACGTTTTAAGTAGATCCAACACAAAGTTCATTCTTCAAAAAATAAATTGCTAGGGCAAAAACAATCACAACGTATAGTCCTTAACTGAACTTCAAGTCAATCGAAAAAATTAATTTTAAGGCAACTGGAATTATGAACACCATTTAGGTATTTGATGACACTAAGACATTCTTGGTAATTTTTGTTTTAGGAGTGACACTGGTGCTTTTTTGGTTAAGTATGTATTTTGGGGGAAGATAACAGGATATGCATGTTATTTAGAAATAGAGACACCTGTGCATATCAGAAGAAACAAGCCAAAGTGGCTGCCTGAGGGGAGGGCAGGAAATGGCCGCAGTATTGTTTTTACTCTCTACATTTGCACATATTATTCAAATAAAATTAAAAGGAATTAAAATAACTAGGAGAAGTTGCAAGATAAACTACACATTTTAAAAAATGAGATTTGGCCGAGAACTAAGGGGCAGGCGCTAAGGGAGTCCATGCTGCACGCATGAGACGCCAGCACTAGCGCATGCGCCGGCCACATGGGCCCTGGCTCCTCTTGGACTCCTCACCATCCCTCCCCACAAGCCACCATCCAAAGGCCCAACCATCCAAAGCAACAGAGCTACCCCCAACATCCAGACCCAAAGAGCAGGGGCTGCAGCGGCCTCGGGAGCCTGACCCCACCTGAAGTGCAGTCCAGGCCCGGAGGAATCCAGGACACAGAGGGTCACCCAGCAAAGACCCCACCTTTAATAGCAGCCACCCCCTGCCTGGACCTCTAGGCGTCAAGACAGTCCAGGGGTACCTCAGGTGACCGTGGGACCCCACTGGTGCCTCTGGTGAAGCGGCAGGCCCCTCCTGGGCGGGCAGAGAGGGTCCTGATACTCCACTTCCAGAGTCTAGAAGGGCGCATCTCTGTAACCGCAGCACAGGGATGTCAGCGAGGCGTCCAGGCAGCAGCCCGAGATCTGGCTCCACCGATGCCCCACCCTGCAGGCTGCAGCTAGCCAGGACAGCAAGCCAGAGCCACTCTCACGAGCAACTGTGCTCTCCTCCTCCCACGTCTACATCTCCTGCACCAGCATGATCAGCTTGGAGGGGCTCCATCTGCCTTTCTGCCCCCTCATCCCTGAGCCCTTGCCCCAGGGCCTCTTCAGGACCCCCTGGGAAGGGAGAGCAGAAGGGGTTGCCCACTGCCGACCCCAACACAGGCATCTTGAGACTCAGTGGAGTGGGTACCTGATGGAAAGTCAACAGACTGCCTAATTTAGCATTCAGCTTCTAACTTTGAGGACAGTTGCCACACCCCTGAAGATGCTGCTCTGTGTTTAACTGAGAAAGGGATCCAAGAGTCCTCCGGGAGCTCTGGTTGAGTCAGAACGACCACCTGCCCCACCTGTGAACTCCCGGGAAAACCGTGCTGAGAGACGATGCTAGAGACAGCACCTGTGTGTCCTCAGAAGAAGTTCTTGATCAGTGGAGTCACCATCTTCACCCACAGCTTCACCTGGCGACTCGGCTGCTCGAAGGTGGCAGAGGACACCACCCCTGACCTCAGGTAGAGCTGCTCTTGCTCCTGAGGAAGAGGGACAGACAGGAATAGTGAGGAGTCCCCTCCAGCACCACACCACATGGCCGGCTGGCCCTAGCCCAGCCCCTCAGGCCAGCCTGGAAAACCCTGACTTCCCATGTCTACCTGGCCCCGAGATTCCCAGGGCGCTCTGGTGGCAGGCAAGGCCAGGCCCTACAAGTTGCACTGTGAAACATTCCTCAGAAAAGCTAAGAAGCCGTGTTCCTGAAGACTTCTAAGGGCCGGGCACAGTGGCTCAAGCCTAGAATCCCAACACTTTTGGAAGCCGAGACAGGAGGATCACTTGAGCCCGGGAGTTTGAGGCCACCCTGGGCAACATAGGGAAGACATCGTCTCTATGAAAAAATCTAAAAACTTAGCTGGGTATGGTGGTGTGTGCCTGTAGTCCCAGCAACTTGGGAGGCTGAGGCAGGCGATGGTTTCCGCCTGGGAGGTCAAAGCTGCAGTGAGCCGTGATGGTGCCACTGCATTCCAGCCTGGGTGGCAAAGTGAGACCTTGTCTCAAAAACACAAACCAAAAGGCTTTTAAGACCAAGACATGTAAAGGACTCTTAAATTTCTTCAATTTAGAGTTGAAGAAATATAACTGGTGGGAAAAATAGTTTAAATGTTCACCCTCACTAAATGAGGTAATGCAAATTAAAATGAGGTATTTTTTAAATGAGACAGTTTTTCTTCTATCAAACTGGCACAAAGCTGTTTTGTGATGTCATTATCCTCCACGCTGATGAATGCTTAGTGCTGAGGGAAAGGGGGACAAGTCGTCTTCTAGAGTGAGCTCTGGCAACAAGAATCAAGCATCTTAAAAAGCTCCCTTTACAAGAGTTTACCACAAGAAAATCACTATGCACTAAGATTTTTATATACAGATATTTATCATAATATTTATAACAGGGAAAAACTGGAAACCACCTAAATGTCCAACAGCCAACTTACTAACAACTCATATGACAAACCAGCATTCACCACGAACTTACTAACAACTCGTACGACACACCAGTTTTTGCCATGAGAAGAACGTTTACCTAACCATATGGGAAGGTGCCCAGAATTGGCAGGCAGAGGAAGCTGGACACGAAATACATGTCCACAACAGAATCGTCATCTGATGCTTAACGCTCTGCCTCTCTGTGTGCTGTACGCAGAAGGCAGGCAGCCAATCACCACAATGGCTTGCTTCAGTGGTTTTCCCTGCATGAAATGGTTTATTTCCGCTTTTCTTAATTTTTATAGTGAACACTTGTTAATTTCATATTTTAAAACAGGTTTAAAAACATTTATGTATGTGGCCGGGCGTGATGGCTCATGCCTGTAATCCCAGCACTTTGGGAGGCCAAGGCGGGTGGATCACTTGAGGTCAGGAGTTCGAAACCGGCCTGGCCAACATGATGAAACCCCATCTCTACTAAAAATACAAACATTAGCCAGGCGTGGTGGTGTGCACCTGTAATCCCAGCTACTCGGGAGGCTGAGGCAGGAGATTCGCTTGAACCGGGGAGGCGGAGGTTGTAGTGAGCTGAGATCGCGCCACTGCACTCCAGCCTGGGCGACAGAGCAAGACTCCATTTAAAAAAAAAAAAATTTATATAAGCTTTGCCTGAAATGGTGTTCGGGATCTTTAAGAAGCTTCTCTCGTAAGAGTCTACCCTCCAAATGCTCCCTCCTCAGTGGGGCACCTGGCAGCGCTCACAGGGTCACACCGCGACTCTAGCCCTCTCTCCTCCACTGTGTCTCCAGCGCTCTCCTCGGTAACGTCCGGGCCACACCTACACCCACCTTGTCGTGAGGACCACGGGTGATGACCACAGAAGCACAGTGCCAACCACAGGACAGCAGCAGCGGTGGCCTGTGCCACTCAAAGCAGCACCCTCCCTGCTCAGGAGACCGGGAGTGAGCCCTGGCAACTCCTCTACCCCAGGGGTGACAGGAAGGGGACACCCCACACTCCAGAACCCTACAGAACATAGCCTTGGCTTTTCCCATCAAGAGCTGGGCAAAGCCAGGCCCCGGCTTCATTTCCCCCTGCCCCCGTCCCAGGCTCAGTGGGTCCCATCCACCGGTCCATGCCACACTCCCCACTGAGCAGCCCCGCAGCCCCACGTGTCACAGACATGGGGCTTCCTCATTGCTGCTGAGGTCCCAATCCCTGGCTGGACGTGCCTGATGGAAGAGCCAGCTCTGGTCTCGGGGGGCTGGTGTGCAGGAGTCTCCACAGACCTGGCTCCAGCTTTATGTCTTCAAATGCACACCCAGCCAAGATTGCAACGAAATTCCCAGAAACACTTAGGTTTCCTCACAGACTCCACAACAGGGATGGAGAAGGAAGTCAGCTGACGAGGTTACCACGCTGTTCGAGGGAGTCTTTCTTGGGTCACAAGTGGTAAACTGTGTTCCCTGAACAAAACCAGGAAGCTTTCAGTGTTTATTGTATGTACTAAGTGGAGGGAGGGACTTCAGATTCTGATAAAAATATCTCCCCGTTCCCAGTGCCCAATGTGACTTGAATAGGAGGGCCCTTCCCTGAATTCCCAAGGAGAGCTCCGGAGACAGCTTCGGAGAGCAGGGAGCCTGTGGTGGCTGGGGCTTTAGGGACTTTCTGGGTTGTGGGGAGGCTGGAGGCTGGGCAGTCCCAGCAGGATTTGGTATCTAGGGACCGGGCACTGCAGGGCCCAGGAGAGCAGCTGCCGTCCCAGTATATAAGCATAGGTGGAATTATCTGGAAACATATTTCTGCGTTTCACAGGCAGAGAAATCAGTCTATCCCTAAAGAACGGAAGAACTACAGTAGCAGGGCTACCACCCTCCCACAGGCAAAAGCCCCTGGGACTCAGGTTTGGGAAGAAAAAGAAAATATCCTAAATATGTCATTTGAGAAAGCAGCTCCTAACCACAAGCGGCCCCAGCTTTTCTCAAGATCCAGGATGTGGGTTCAATGCTCTTACTAGGGCAGTGGGGGAGGACAGTCAGTACCAGGGCCCCAGCACAGGCCTGGAGGACTTGCTCCCCCCATCAACTCAGATCCATGCAGAGCGCATCCTGGGCCCTGGCCAAAGTCACCAAGGACTCTCTGCCGCCCTGGCGCAGAGCTGCAGCGGAAGTCTCTGCGAACAGCCCCCTGGAACTGAAGCAGAAGTCCAGGAAAGCCCACTGTGGAAAGCTGCCGGCTCAGGTCTTTCCCACTAGCCTGGCTCCAAGGCCAGCTTGTCACCCTATTACTGGAATCTCTCAGCTTGTGGGGGCTTCCTCAGTCATTTGCTGTAAACCTCACTGTAGGAAGAAACCCGAGCAAACCCATTACCCCACTGGCCCACCCAGAGCATGACTGACCGCTGTCACTTCCTCTTGCGCCTGTCGTGGTCATGAAGCCTTTCCTGGCACCAAGGCCCCAATCAGTCAGACAAGATTCCCAGGCTGCAGGAGGACAGATCCCAGGGAACACAGCAGTGACTATTTCCTCGTCCATCAACAAAGGCTCTGACAATTTTGCAACAGTTATTCCCAAACCCTGGAGCATAAAAGCTTCACAGAGTTACCGTCCCACGCTGCTGGGCTCTGGCCTGTGGCCGTGTTATCTGCATCCCCAGGAATGGAAAAGGGAAGTTGGTGCCTTCCATGGAAAAGGGTTATTGCAAAGATCACAAATTCATGAGTCCAGGGCACCATCAAGGTCTCAGACAAAAGGGTAATAATGTGCTCCCATTTCAAAAGTCTATCCACATGTCACAGGCCATCAAATAGAGGGTCATCCAGAAGCATTCACCAGCTCCTGGTAACCTTCTTTTATCTCCTCAAAGAGAAAATACGCTGCTATTATACAACGGAGGGCCGAAACCACTGCTGAACCCTTTATTTTTTGAGATGGAGTTTCACTCGTTGCCCAGGCTGGAGTGCAATGGCACGACCTCAGCTCACTGCAACCTCTGCTTCCTAGGTTCAAGCGATTCTCCCGTCTCAGCCTCCCGAGTAGCTGGGATTACAGGCACCTGCCACCATGCCCAGCTACTTTCTTGCATTTTTAGTAAAGGTGACGGTTCACCATGTTGGCCAGGCTGGTCTTGAACTCCTGACCTCAGGCGATGCACCCGCCTCGACCTCCCCAAGTGCTGGGATTCCAGGCGTGCGCCCCCGCGCCCGGCTCCAATGCTGAACCTTTGAAGAGCTGACCCTTTTTCTTAAAAGGGAAAGGTCCCAGGGAGAAAATGGTGGCCTCCTCTAGTGCAGAGAAAGAAAAAGTCTCCAGGATGTGGGGTGCGAAGCGTCTGGGAAGTCACAGGCACGATCTTCCGAGGCTCAGCACCCATCACTGCACTCTTGGAGACCCGGAGTCTTTCCTGCTCTGCTCCGAGTCTCACTCGTTGCCTCAGGAAACAGCTCTCAGGGCAGCCCCACAGCACGGGCAAGCCTGGGCCCCAGCCACACCCTCAGCACCCTGGGAAATCCCACTTGCCATGACCAACCTGGTGAAGCTGCTGCTGCAGGGCCTCGTTCTCTGTCACGATCGCAATCTGGGCCTCCAGGTCCCGGTGAACTGACCTGTACCCAAAATTAGGAGAGCCAATCAGCGTGAGACAGGGCAGGCTGCTCCCTGCCAGGTACAGCCAGAGGCCTGCAGGGAAAAGGAAACGTGCAGACAGGAAATGAGCACAGCATCTGCCAAAGTCCTCTCCACACGCTGCTGCAATCTAAGAGAAAGGCAGCCCGCTCTGGGTGCCTGGACATGAGGGGTGGCTGCAGAGCGGCGGACAGGCCACACCAGGACTCGCTCTTCCCCCCTACCCCGGCGCGGCAGGAAGCAGGAACCCAGGACCGGGGCGCAGTCTCAGCACAACTGCTAGTCTTTGCTTCCACCACTCACACCGTGGCCTTGTGTCCCAAGCAGGACGAGAAGCAGGCTTTCCCAGGGGAACATGGTGACGCCGCCTGCAGGACTGCTCTCATATACCCCTGCCCAGATGCCCACTGAGCCTCTCCCCAGAGCGCTCAGGGCCTTGAACCCCACTCTGAACCGCCTCTGCACATCCACACCTGCTGACACTACCTGCTAAGCTCAGAACCCGCACTGGCCATCCCTTCCTGTGAGCACTGAGAATCCTCACACGTACTTCTCAGAAGCAGCCACCTCAGTGCGCAACAGGGCAGACGGTGAAGGACAACCACGCGACCCAAGCCAGCAGATGTGGGGTTGTCACGCGGGGTGGCTGGTAAGAACAGGTCTGCCTTGAAGGCTGGCTGCCTCACCATAGGTCCTGGGTAGGCTGTCTGTGCCCTTCTGACTGAGGGACATGCGAGTCTCCCAGACCCAGCCTCCCTATTTCAAGTTGCTGATGCACCAAAACCCTGTGAGGACAAAGGGGGTCCAGGCCTGAGACCTCTGCCGTCACTGCCCACAGGGCCCAGGGACTTCCTGGCTGGACAAGGCAATGAAGGAGAAAGCTAAAGGGCCCTGTTTCTGTCACACCCAGAGAACAATATCCCCTTTTGCTGGGAAATGAGCCAGTCAGTATTACAGCTGGAGAAAAAGCAGGGCACGGGGTACACCGTGTGGCAGGGGGAGCCACGCTACGGGGACATTTCTGTAACAAGGCCACAGGCGTACTCAGAATACTAACATGTTACCTGAGATGATGACAGGCACAGTTCTGTGGCCCATTCCACACCTTCCCAAGGTCCAGGGCACATTCCCACAGCCCAGCCCCCATCAGAACTAATTCTAAAAAGGCTGTTACCAAGACCTAGCATCCCAAGGACACGTGCTGCCTGAGACGCCCTTCCTCCCACAGGGCACCCAGGCTCGGCCTGAGCTCGACTTCCCTCCGTGCTGCCCTCCACCGGCACTAAGAATGCTTCTCCCAGAAACTCCTGCCTGATGTCAGTGTAAGCAAGTGTGAGTGGGGGTGAGAAGGTAGTGAGGGTGAGCAGGTAATGAAAAGGGGTGAGCGGGTGTGAGCAAGGGTGAGCGCGTGTGAGCAGGGGTGAGGGGGTAAAGACCAGGGGTGAGCAGAGGTGAGCGGGTGTGAGCAGGGGTGAGCGGGTGTGAGCAGGGGTGAGCGGGTGTGATCGGGGTGAGCGGGTAAAGAGCAGGGGTGAGCGGGTAAAGAGCAGGGGTGAGCGGGTGTGAGCAGGAGCAAGCAGATTTAAGTGGTTAGAGCAGGTGTGAGTGGGGGTGAGAAGGTAATGAGACTGAGCAGGTATGAATGAGGGTGAGCAGGTGGCCCCGGGTTCCTCTACGGTACCCTGCACTAATCCCAGCATCCCAGAGTTGCCCCTCCCCATGGGGTGTTGAGTTCTCCCCCACTGACACGCCCCTTTCAAAGGACCCACACAATCGTCATGGTCGAGTCAACACAGTACGTAACACGCACCAGGCTCCTAAAATAGCAAACGGTTTCCTAATCTTCACTTAGAGCAAGAGCATTTCCAAGAATATCTTGGGTAAGAGGTGACGAGGCCCTGCGCTTGTTCCTGTAATGGGCTCGTCTCCACCCCTCCAAGGGCCACATCAAAGCCACTTGCTGGCCTGTGTGCATCGCACCATAAACAGGACCGCCCCGCTGGGCCACTGGCCATGCAGGCCATTCACAGGACCACAGGTGTGGGCAGGCTGCCCCCTTCCCCTGGCAGCTCTGATCCAGATGGCTCACACTGCCCAGGTTGGTCCAAGCAGAACAGCACTCGTGGCCCCTCGTACACACAGCCCCCCTCCCACCCCCTCTTCCCCAGAGCATGGAGCTGGCAGAGACAAGGCGCAAGGCAGGCGTCCGCCAGCCTCAGACCAGAGACAGGAGCTTCCTCCCACCTGCCGTTGTTCATTCCAACTTTTCTAATGACAAGATGAGCCTCTTAAAACACTGGGTCTGTTGTGTGACTTGTCCAGCTGGCTCTCCCAAGCCCACGGAGGGAACAGTGACGGTGATGAGTAGGAAGGCCACACGCCCACATGGGTGATGAGGGTTAGGCTGCTCTGTGTCACACCACCATGACTCGGTGTCCACCCCACAGCTCCTAGACCACAGAATCTGATGGAGAAGGTTGGAGGTGCATGGTTCTACACACACTTTTTATTTGCCAAATCCACCTAAGCACTGGCTCCGTTCTTTATGAGGCCACCTAGGGGCCGACGCTCAGAGGCAGGCAGGCCACCTCCAGTGCGCAACTTCATCAACTGCTTCCCCATCTACTGCTCATTCTTGACCCCAAGATAGACTGTATATGTATTTGTAGACAGTCTCTATATCTATCTATGTTTCCCATATAGAAAGAATAAGGGTTTTTCAGCAGGTGAGTGCCCAGGATTAGAGAGGTAGCTCACCCTTTTAACCTACCTGAGACTGCCCATCAGCTTCCCCGCCAGACTTATTTGCACTGCAATCTTTCTCCATCAGAAAGAAAATAACGACCACAGGCCAGCCTGATGCCCTCTGGGGAGCCCTAAGGAGACAGCATGAGTCAAGCACCTGCCAGGTCCGGAGATGCCACAGGGTGCTGCTGCGAGATGCCCATACTCCAGCATGCCCCACAGGCCAGGGCAGCTGGGAACAATGGTGTTTCAAGATTTCAGCTCACAAGTCAGGAGTTTTAGCCATTGGTCTGTGTCCTGACGACAACTGGGAAGTTTCCAACTGGGGAAGGGGAATCTAAAAGCCCTTTTGGAGGTCAAGGCTGCAGTGAGCTAAGATTACCCCCACTGCACTCTAGCCTGGACAAGAGAGAAACACTATCTCCAAAAAAAAAAAACAAAAAAACCAGGAGCCCTTTAGGTTCTGTTTCATCTCCCTCGCTCTAGGCCTGAGCAGTCTGGAGCTCTGGTCAGACCTGCGCCACCAGTCAGGATGTCCGGCTGTGTATACACTGGGCTAAGACTATCAGGCCTGGGACTCGCTGTCGGGAAATCTCTTTCCCAGTACAAGGCCATAAACTGGTTATCACGCCCGACTCTTCATCCCAGGGCCTGACCTCTGGGCCTGACATCTTTACAATTCCAGGAACCATCCAGTTAGGGAGACCTGTAGCAGGAACCATAGCCTGAAGAGGGAAGAAGCAGCCCTTTGCAGACCAAGTGCTTTTGGGAGGGGACTGACTGCTGGCAGTTCATGGGGCAGAGAGAAATGCTGCAGCCCTGGGTGCCAGAGAGGGCAGGGTGCAGGGGAGGCAAAGGCGGCTGCTACTCCACAAACACTCGCTATAAAGCAAGTGTCACGGGGACACCAGAGGAGGACCTGGACTGGAGTTGCGACTTCCGCTGCCTCCCAGCTCTAGGCCCCCTCTTCAGAAAGGACGCCTGCCCCTGCTCTTCTGCAAAGTCACTCTGCCCTGCGGAAGGCTGATCCAGGCCTCAGCACTCCTGGCCTCCATGGCAGCGCTCCCTCAGCACTCGCACCGTGACTTCTGAGCCCTTTCCAACAGGCCCTGCCCACCCTCCAATCTCAATGCCCACCACTCCCAGCGCCCCTGCTGTTCTGCAAACCTCGTGTGGTCGAGGGGCTTCTCATTTCTGTCCCCTCTGCCAGGACACTCCGGCCCCAGATAGTGGCATGGACGCTCCCTCTTCATTCAGGCCAACTGCCCGAGTCCGAGTGTCTGCTCCTCAGAGAAGCTCTCCCTGAGCCCCCTTGTAACAGACCCTGCAGCAGCCTGGAGCCTTCCCTTGCTCTGCTCTTCATAACTCGCTCCCTGATATTTGTAGAGATGCATCTGCTTCTTATCTGCTTTCCATCAAACTACAAGCCTTAGGAGGGCAGGGAGTTAGTCTGTCTGGTACCCAGTGATCCATTCCCAATGTGCCGAATGATGCCTGGGACACAGTTGGTACTTGTTAAATATCTGTTTGAATAAAATAAACTGAGAGTAATAATGTCTCTCCCAAAAAAGGTCAAATTAAGTGTTAAAAAAGCTCTGAAGGCCAGGCACAGGGGCTCACCCCTGTAATCCCAGCACTTTGGAGAGCCAAGGCGGGCAGATCACAAGGTCAGGAGTTCAAAACCAGCCTGGCCAACATGGTGAAACCCCGTCTCTTACTAAAAATACAAAACTTAGCTGGGCATTCTGGTGCGTGCCTGTAATTCTAGCTACTGGGGAGGCTGGGGCAGGAGAATGGCTTAAACCCAGGAGGCGGAGGTTGCAGTGAGCCGACTTTATGCCACTGCACTCCAGCCTGGGTGACAGAGCAAGACTCCCTCTCAAAAAAAAAAAAAAAAGCTCTGAAGTTTAGGTTTTGTTTTATTGTATTTTATTTTGAGACAGAGTTTTGTCTTGTCACCCAGACTGGAGTGCAATGGCGCAATCTCGGCTCAATGCAACCTCCGGCTACTGGGTTCAAGCGATTCACTCGCTTCAGCCTCCTGAGTATTTGGGATTACAGGCGGCTGCCACCACGCCCAGCTAATTTTTGTATTTTTAGTAGAGATGGGGTTTCACCATGCTGGCCAGGCTGGTGTCAAACTCCTGACCGCAGGTGATCCACCCACCTCTGACTCCCAAAGTGATGGGATTACAGGTGTGAGCCACAACTGCACCCGGCCTATTTTGTTTTTGTT